TGCTTATGGCCTCTCTGATACAAAGCAAACATCCAGAATGCTAGAGCTATTCCAATAGCAGCAATTCTAATACACACTTTTTCTCTCACAGATGAGGGAAGTCCCTGATTCCCCACCCTTCTAATGAGGAATCAGGACTGGAAGTGCCACACCTCTCCAACTACATGCACTCAGAATGGCCTCTTTTGACATTATTCAGATGTGCCAGAAACAGAGTCCACTACAAAGGACAGAGTGGGCTCTGTTTGGAGACATGGGTGGTGACATGATCTTTAAAAATGACATTTGCACTCACAAGGAACTGCATCCTCCATCTTTAATGGCTGGCTCTGGACAGGGGAAGGGGTTTCCAGTAGTATTTTAAAAGCAGTTATTTCCCTACGATTGCATTCCATTATATGCTGAGATAACTGGGAGCCAGAAGTGCTTAGGGAATCATTGCATAGATGTACCAAAAGCTAGCTGGAAAGCACCTGAGTTGACCTGAGTTGAGCCTCATAGTTGAGCTTTCAGTTACTTTTCTTTTATTTTAAGTAACTGTTTTCGTTGAGCCAATTCTGGTCACAAAACCCTTTTCTACTAGTAAACGTCGCTTTGCTTTCTGACTTCACAGATATAGCGAAGATCAGCTGCCTGTGGCCATTTCACAACAAATGCCTCCTCAGAGGGAAGTAACACACCCTGGAGAAAGAGGATGAGATCAAACCCCAGGACCTGCAGAATCTCTAATCACACCATCATCACCCTGCATGTACACTCTTGGTCTTTGTTTCCTTCTCACAGTGGGCCCTTCCTCCCCTCCCAGCCTGCTCCATGCTCCTTGAGCCACAGGCTATTTGTTGTGTAGTTGCTGCCAACTTGGCTGGTGAGAAGCCAGGCCTGGAGGAAATAGAGGGTCCTGGCAAGAACACCGACAGAAGGCCCCAAAAGGGTCAGCTCCTGATTCCTCCCTCAATACAACTGTGCCTCCATTAATATTTGTATGGAATATAGAAGTCACTTTGGAGTCACCAGAGACCTGGTTAGCAAAAAGCTGTCCTGCTATCCAGATACAGCCTCTGAGTGTGTGGCAGGGTGGCAGGAATGGAGAGATAGGGCTGCAAGGTCCTTTAGGGAGGGCCAAGATCAAGCAGGTCACTTAGGAAAACATTGTGAAAACCACTAGGCTCTTGTCTGGTTGGATAAAGCAAAGAAAATCCTTGCTTTCCATGATAACAAACCTCAAACCAGGCGAATGTCATAGAGTGCAGCACCACCAGAAGCTGAGATTTGGTGTGGCTGAGGCTCTCTGAACAAAGGCCTGTGAGAGGTCCACTGGCAGGGTGGCAGCGTGTTCGTGGGTTGGAGAGTCTCCAGGGACTCTGTCTTGCACTGCCCAGGGTTGCTCACCCTGTATCACCAGCTACCTCTTTTCCTTCCCTCAGTCCTAGCACGATGCCCCCTGGTACAGACCAAACCCTGGCGGCATTGCTTTAGGGCCACTGGTTTCTGGGCAGCTCTGGCTTCTGTATACAGTCAGAGGAAGCTTGAAAATAGTGAGCTTGTCCCTTCAGTGAAGAGAAGCTTACGCATTAACTTCTCCTCACCCTCTCTTTCCTTAGCCTTTTGGGTGCTAGCCTGGAGATACTGGCTTTAAATTGATTCCTGTCGTTAGTGACTGCATCATACCTATAGCCATAGAAGATGAGCGATATTTACCGCCCGGTTTCTGCACAGAACTGAGGGAGGAGAGGAAAAAAGGTTGAGGTGCTTGGGCTGGGAAAGGCAAGCCTGAGGTGGTGAGGCTACCGAACATGAAGCGGAGGGCTGGAGGAGCTGCAGAAGCGGTGCGCCAGGGGATCCCGACCCCGGAGCTGACGCACGCGCACTAGTAGCCTGACGCCTAAGCGGCCGTTGGAGCGAGTTAACCTGTTTAGTTTTCGGTCCCCTGTTGGATGGCGATGATTGAAAACCAGCCTTCGAAGACTGTTCTTTTTCTCTCTGCAGGTAGACAGAAGCATGCACCTTCTTCTCCCCAACTTTGCTTTTGGGGCCGGGAAAGGGCGGGGATAACAGCACCGCGCACGCACCTAGCCCTGGCGACTTGCACAGGGCTCCGCGGTTTGTGAATGGATCTTGGTAACTTCTCCTGCCAAGGGGCTTTCGATGGTCGTAAAGCAACCACAGTAAGCGTGGTACAGGAGTGCACTCTCTGTTGAGTGGAGTTTACGGGTGTAGACCCCGGAGTAGACCAAATGGTGAAACTAAAAATTTTCTCACTGCAGGTTTTTCCGACGCGGGCTCAGGGGAAATCCAACGCTCCAGGGGTTAGGCAGGGCCGAGTCAGGGCAGGCGCAACCCGGAGCGCAGGCTTCTCTCTGCGGAGCTGCGGAGGGACTTAGCAGCTCCACGCGAGGATCACGCGCAGTGTCATCTTTCACCGTTCATCGTTTATGGGTCTTTTTTTTTAAAAAAATGACACAAATACATGTTCAACACTCGTTATAGGTTTTAAAAGTTTAGTGGCTTCCACCCTACTTACTTACTCACACCATGCAAATTCAGTTTTCAGAACGCACTTTTTTAACCTCTTAACATTGAAGAGAGCTGAGAAGGGGCCTTAGGGTCTGGCTTGCCACGTTCAATCACTGACCACAAGAACTGGTCACTTCTTCAGTAACTACACAGCTCTTCTTAAAGTCACACTGTCAGAACCCAGAGGAGGTCGGAATGCACCTTGCCACCCCCTCAGGTAAAGCCCAAGAACGTGTCTTGGCCTTCCTGGGTCATCTCTAGACAAAAATTTGATCCCCATCTGTAATCTTGCGGGGATGAGAGATACAAGAATGGATATTTCAGTGCGGGTAGGGCTTAAAAGTTGGAACAAAGAAGAAATAACAAGAGGCGGAATCTCAGCTCCAGAAACTTGGCCGCAGAGTGGTCTTGCTCTCCCGGGTTTGAGGAAGCAGATAACAGTTCGTCTCGGGCGGGATCCACTCTCCTGCTCTTTCAGCAGATAAAGGGGAGGGATGGAGGGGACACACACAATTAGATTTATTTTGGAAAATCTTTGCCACCTGATACATGCAGAGGAGAACTTACTGATGGCATTCAGCAGCACCATCAGGCCTTAAACCATGACAGGTTTGTCACAGACCCAAAGGCATCACTTGCAGAAGGCACAGTATTCAATATCTCACATTTTTTCACCCTAGAAAGAGGTCAATATCTCACAGTTTTTCACTCTGGAAAGAGGCCAAGTGGACCATTTTGAGGGACCAAGTGTTAGCTTTCAAGGTCCACTTTCAGGATTGCTTTGTAAGGTTCTGAGTACTCTAGTTAAGCCAGAGTTTGAACCTTCAAAAGAGCGAAGGGAAGGGAAGGGGTGTTCAGCTCAAGACAGCAACTTACTGGCGTCAGGGGCACTGTGCCCAGGCTGTGCACATCTCTGTGAGATGTGTTCTTTCTTCTCCACAGTGGCTTTAGTAAGTTGTCAAGGTGATTTGTTTGACAGCAGCTTTGATGTTAAATGTACTCTAGCCATGGAAGATTTCCAGTCTTGAAAAGTCTACGTGCTTTTTGTAATGCTTTTAATTAGGAAATAGGAATCCTTAAGTGGATACTCAGTAACCGATAAGGCCGTATCATAGAGTCAATTTTGGCTTATGTGAATTGACCTTATAAAAATCATAGCCTTTTCATTAAAATGAATAATGTATCAGAGCGTAGTTTAAAGCTTCAAATATGTTTTCAGACAGAAATATTCCAAGAATGCAAGTCAGGTATATTTCTTAGATAAATGACAGTGGGGGCATTGCATACACTGAAATTCTGAGTTCTCAGGTTTCCTGAAATCCAGCGCGCATCATTAATCATTCATTGGGGTCGGTCCTTCAGTCAATGGCAGCTCTGAGTAAGCTGAAGCTAGTTGTTAGCTAATCCTTCCTGCCAAGGGGATCCTGGGGCGAGAGAGGACAACTGGACAGTCATTCACACGTGCTAGTGCCCAGACCTTGCCCCTCTTGCCTGGCTCCCAGGGTGGGTATGCGTATGCGCTCACCCTCCCAGACACACACCCAGGGCTTCCCAGAAAGAAAAACAAATTTGGCATAATGTTTAGCGCGACCGAGAGTTTCCAACAGAAAGCATCTCGAGTTGTGGCTTAATGGCTCAGGGTGGCTCTCTAAACCCTGAATAAACCCATCTCTTAGCTCTTTAATCAGTAAGAACCACCATTAAAACAAAAAGTCTTCTTCCACCACTCCGCACCAAAATCTTCCCAAGTTGGGATGCGAGTCCTGGCTTGGTTCCCGGCAGAAGCACTTGAAGCGGTGGGATCTCCCGGGAGGACGCAGTTCCCTAGGGATTCCGGGCCCCAGGGTTATTGTGAAAGCCGAGTTTGCAGCACATAGGGAAGGAAACACGGAAATTGGGTCCTGACCGCGTTGGCCAGAGTGTTTGGCTGGGACGCAGGTGTGCGCAGAGGTTGAGAGGACAAGAACTCACTTCCACGATTTAATCTCCCACTTCCTTCGCTGTCCCTGGAGGACTCAGCTGCACGCGGGCAGCTGAATTCCGCGCAGCGTTGGCTGGAGTCTGAGGGTGGCCGTGTGGCGCGTGAGAACAGCTGGGATGCGTGGCCCCGCGTCCGGGTGCAGCTCCCCTGCACTCGGCTTCTCCACCCCCTCACTCTCTCATCCCCTCCCTCCTCCACACCCCCGCCCCCGGGACCGCCAGCCTCCTTCTCCGCACCCGCCAGATAGTACACAAAGCGGCGGGTGAGAGGAAGCCTCGCAGGCGTGCACCGAGCAGTGAGATCACTGGCGTTATAAATATCTCAGTGCCAGCGCCGAGATCCGTTCGGGTGGCCTCTCTCTCTCTCCCTCTCCCCCTGTCTTTCCCGAGGCTATGTCCACCCAGTGCGGCGAGGGGGGCAGCGCCAGAGGCACGCAGCCGCGCGGGGGCTACAGAGCCCAGACCCAGCTCTACAAGATGCACTTAGGACCCCCGCGGCTGGAAGAATGAGCTTGTCCTTCCTCCTCCTCTTCCTCAGCCACCTGATCCTCTGCGCCTGTGCTCAAGGGGAGAAGCTCCTCGCCCCTAAAGGGCAACCCGGACCCGCTGCCACTGATAGAAACCTGGATGGTTCCAGCAGTAGCCAGAGCAGCAATAGCACGACGTCTTCCTCATCCTCCTCCCCTACGACTTCTCTGGGCAGCCAAGGAAGTGGCTTGGATCAGAGCAGTTTCCAGTGGACCCCCTCGGGGCGCCGGACTGGCAGCCTCTACTGCAGAGTGGGCATCGGTTTCCATCTGCAGATTTACCCGGATGGCAAAGTCAATGGCTCCCACGAAGCCAATATGTTAAGTAAGTTGCTCGCTCTCTAGCAAAACCAGTCCTAAGCGGGTGGCCAGACATTCGGGAGGGACAACCCATTATTCTCTGGGCCACCGGGTCATCTTCGCAAGGCCGGATCACTGGGACCCAGCTGGCTTTCAAAAGAGCCTGGTGGGTGGGGTGGAGACGCGTTTATATGGCGTGCATACACATACGGACTGGTGGGCACACGGAATGGCGATTCCTGAAGTGCAGGCTGCCTGGGGGCTGGTGCACAGAGATAGGCACCTTATTTCCAGTCTGCCTTCGTCCCAAAGAAGAGCCTCCAGCCTGTGCCTGGAGGAAAAACAAAAATCTTTCTCCTTCAGTTTCTGTTTACTAGGTTAGCATTCTTCATTAAGTAGTATCAAAGTGCATCCCTTTTTCTTACCCATGACTAAAGGTATTTTTTAGAAGAATCAACTCTCACATACCCCCAGACCTGCCACCATAAACCCCAAATTATGTGTGTGTGTATATGCATACATATGTCTGTTGTGTATGCATACTTGCACATTATATACCTACAGAATACATGTATACTCTAGGGGAGACCAAACATTGCTTGTTTGGAAGAAAACAGTGATCTGGAAAACTGGACATCTTTAGAAAGGGTGACGTGATAGACATTTGAAGTATTAGCTCTAGAGCTGGGTTTAGCAATGTTCAGTATCTTGAGATCAAGACAACACCTTGTTAGGAAGAGTGACCGGCCTTTGGTCCCCAAAGACAAATATAGGGTAAAGTTCTTATTTTAGAAGAAATACAGAAGATGTTCAATTTGGTACAGGTGAAAATTGTGTAGGGTTTTATTTTGAAATCAAGTTTTAAATTTTCTTTGGGTTTTCTCTATGTATTTTCTTTCTCTACTTTCTCATTTCCCTTCTCTTCCACTTTGTCTGCAATTCCAGACCATCGCCGCCTCCGCTCCTCTGCTTCCTCTCACTGCCTCTAGGCAGCTGGGGGTTGTGTGCGGAACTGGGGCGATATCTGCCGGGCTTTTGCTCTGTAGGGCTAGGTCGCTCTTTCAGCGGGGTTAGTCCATCGGATAGAGTCACAGCCCAGTCCCCGAGATACCAAAGAGAGGGATATGTGTCCAGGAGACAGCACTGCCCGCAGCCACTTGCCTCAGGAGGTCACCTGGTCCTTCCCAGGTGTACTTCAGTCTCCACCCTCTGTAAGTTTGGTTGTTTTGACCACGTATTGTTTTCCTTCTCTACAGCAACGCCTAGCTCATGGAAATTGCTCACTTAATCTGTTGCTCACTTAAATTCCTCATTTAAGAATGAGGAAACTGAGGCTGGTAACTTGCTCCTTCTCAAACGCAGGACCACATGGGCTTCTTTGGGTTTCTTCTTTCCCAGGGTCCAGAGGAGTGTGCGTGCCACAGCAGGGCTGACCTCTGGAGCCCTGTTGGAGGCGCCTACATTGATTGGGTGGCAGGCTGGCAAGCTTCTTTCCAGGGTTCAGGAGCCGGGGTGAAAAAGACTGGTGGTTTGCTGTGGAAGAGAAGCAGGTGGATGCCCCCGTCCAATCCCCCCTACCTCCCCACCCCCACCCTTGGGCCCAGACTAGTCACTTGGGCTGTGCAGCTCCAGCTGACTGTGTTGCACATGGTGAGGTGGCCTGGACGCAGCTAGAGAGGCCCTCCATATACGCGCAAGTGGTCCCAGGGCCTCCCACATGCTTCTTACAGGAGCCCGAGCCTATGTTTTAAGGTTCATTTAACTCTTATCAAACAGCTCACCATTTTTGGTGGTAGGGTGAAAAAAATTTTCTGAGATTTCAGGGGCAGCGAGAGTTAAGTCTATTTCAGTATTTCCATTTGTCCTTGTTTTGTCCCACACAACCTTTTACTCCTTCAGACATCAGAGCTCATATCCTACTGCTAGGAACCTTTCCTCCTTTTCTTAACTGAAAACCTCTTCTATTCTGTTCTTATAGTTCATCTAGGAAATTGGTATCAACAGAGGATAACTTCTGTGTTCCCAAGGGGCAGACCCAAAGTTAACATGCATCAAGCAGCAGCTGGATCCCAGGGGAGTTAAAGAGTGTGTCTGGGGTGGGTTTCGTGTGCTAGGGATCTCTGAAAAACGGACTTATTCCCGAGACGTTCACCCTCTTCTCTTGGAAAAAAACACATAGACAAAAAAATGTTTGCAGCTTAGGCCTTGCCCAGGGGACAGTTTTTTTTGCAGAAAAGCATAGGAAGGGAAAGAAGGACAGCTCAGCAAAAAACATATTCAGCTAAAGAAGACCTTGACCAATATGTTATACCCAAGGTCCAATTTATTTTAAAATCCACCTGAAAGGTATCTATAAAAGAACAGGGCTGTTTCCTAAACAGTGACTAAAGAACTTTCTTTCGATTAATAATTTCTTACTTCATTGCAACTTATAGTAGACTTTTAGCATTCAGTGTGTAAGTTTCATATGACATGTGATCATTCACTTATTTATTCATTTATTTATTCATTCATGCACCTAGGATACCTACCTACCCCAACTTGATATTTTGGTTACTTTTAGATTTGTTGCCAGATTGTTTTGTTTTTGGCTTCCATAAATTTTTGTCACAAAAGAAAGAATGACTAAAGTGTTCAAATCATGGTGATTTTTCTGCTTTGTGATGCCCAAGTGTGCAATACTATTTCATAAGATTTCGCTATCTTTGACTCATGAAGAATTTGTGGAATACATCATGTTTACCAGGGTAGCATGTAATTTGGAAATTTAAAATGAATCTCTGCCCTTAAGTAGCTGTCAATGAGAACACACAGGCCTAATTACCTCTTTGAAGGTGCAGCACCTGATGGTTTCCTGACACACTGGTTAGGGTGCATGAGGAAACATTTGTCTAAGTCTCACAAGGGACACGGGGAGAGCTGGGGTGTATCCACTATAGTTTTATCTGATCGTCTAGTTCTGCTGTCTATGAGTGAGCAATGACAAAAAACTTACTTTTTGTCCTAGCTTGCTACTTCAGAAAAGAGTCAGAACTTTGCCACAAAACTGCATTCTAACAGGTGCTTTTAAGCTCAATAGTTTTCTGTAATATTTGTGAGAACAAATATATATATGTCTCTCATCTATCATTTAGCATCAAAATTTTTGCAAACTGTGAATGTTTTCTAGTTTCACCATCAGAAGCACACACTGGCCATCAATTTTTGAAATGTAATTTGTTTAGTTAAAGTATACCACTTAGTATATTCTTACACAATAGTTACTCCACGTTTCGAACACAGAGAGGAGAATCGAGCTTATTGCACATAAACGCTCTTTGGAGGAGATACTATGGAAGAGTTGAGAAAAATGGAGCAAAGATAGATGATGGCATCCAACTGTTGAGTAACAAAGGCTTTGCTTTCATTTGTATTTGGTAAAGTTAGTTTCAATACAATTCTTCTGCTGACTTCTCTTGGCCCATTAAAGAATAGGCGATTAAATAATTGTCAATCTAAGGAGCAAAAGTTTAAAGCTATGGCTACAGAAAGCCAAAGTTTCATATAAAATATGAAAATTCCAATCATATATTTTGGGTTAAACTGAATCCTCAATATTACTGACTTTTAGAAATCTGAATTCACTATCAATATTTATGTTATATAAGGTCAGCCTTTATGTTGTTCCCCAAAACTAGATAAACCAGAATCTTTATCTACTGTATAGAAAAACTCAAGTGGAAAAATTCTGTTACTACTATAATCAGTAAAGACAGCTAAACCTGATATTTTAAAACTCAGATTTGATAATGATGCAGCATATGGGTCACTATGTGAACACAAATGGAGAAATTTCAGTTTTAAATTATTTTTCCTTGAGGACTTTCAGATAGGCTGTTGAAAGCTTTTGAATACATGGACTATCCGTGTTTTATTCACTAGGTAGGAAAAGAGAGAAAAGGGTGAAGAAGCCTACATAACTATATTAGCCATCTTTAATAGAGTTTTATTGTTTTAAAAATCTGGAACATACTGAAAAAGTCTAAATGTGTATTTTCTTACTGAAATACTTAATTGTAATGCATGCTTATGTTTGCAAGTCAGTGGATTAAACAGTTGTGTGTATAATCTGGGAGACACCAAGGGCTTGCCTCCTGCAACCTAGATGTCAACCCCAAAATTCCACCCAGAGAATTCCTTCTCTGAGCACTGACCTTTTCTTTTGATGCTTTTAAATGTGAACACCCTAGGAAATACAACACATTGTTGCCTGCACTCCAGTATGAATTAATTTATATTGCTCCCTTCCCATTTCCAGGAGAGGACTAAAACATACTTCTGTAGATGTGTGCTTATGGCGGGTCCTCAAAATGAAAAGAAAGGTAGTGAGGTAAAGAAAGTCCATTATAGAAAACATTCATTGACTATCCATGGTCTGTGAGACACACTTGCATTTAACACACTTGTGCTTAAGGATATTATCTTGGCATCCACAATGTAAATTGTAAATGTTCACTAAATGTATTATTACTGACTCCCAGAAAGAGTCAGGAAATTACTGAAATTGAAAAAAGAATTCATTGCGGACAAATATTTCTTAGGACTTAGACATGTGTGATTTAATGCACATAGATTTATTATCTAGAATGTTATGTAGAAGGTCTTTAGTGAGTTACTTACTGAGATTTAGCATAGTAAAATCATAGTAATCTCTTGAGGGAGGCAGGAAGTTGAATTATGGGGCTTATAGACTCTGCTCTAATATTCTAGAAAAAAAGTATTGTAAAATTACTGTTGCAATTACTTTGGAAATTCTGATCTTACCAACATTCATAATATTATGCCATAATTAAATGAAGACTTAGAAGATCATACCAAAGTTGCCTATGTGAAAAAGTTACTTTATTTAATCTCATTTACTCTCTATTCCTCATAATTTTAAATAGAATGATATAAGTAAAAATAATTTTAGCCTTCAATTAAATATAATGTTCTTAAAATGGTAACATCCTTTTATTTTCAGGCAATCTATCATTTGTATGCTGAAACTTAAAAGAAAAGAAACCATGTAGCATGTAATAAAATAAAGTATTATTTCATTGACCCCATATATGAAATTCATTACAGTGCAAATTTTGCATAACATATATACATACAGAAGATACAGTGTTAGGAAATAAGTTAAATGAGTCAAAAATGGGTCTTTCTTAAAAATAGAATGTTAATGATTAGAAACCAATAGTGTACATAAATAAATAGTTATAGAGCCTTTTTGTTTTGACCTCTTAAATGTCAGCATGCAAATACATACACTTAATGAGAATGTTACCTTTTATGCTGTCATGTAGTTTTTCACTAATATACAATAAATTTGCATTTACAAAATGTAATTTACAATACATTTGCATATTCCATAGAGTGTGAAATAAAACACCTCTAACAATATAGAACCATGGGTGAATTGCAGGAAAACATGCGACCAAGTCTCTTCTACAAACTCCACATTGTCTCTTTGGCAGCGATTATTCTATACCCAGACAATATCTCACATCCTCTCTGTCTCACTATTTAACACATTTACACAGCATTCACAATCACAGCCCCCATCTCTCAGAGATCCAAAATCCATTAATGCTATTTTATCAAGATCATTCTGTACTTTTGATAGAAATATAACTTTCTATCATATTTCTATTTATGTTTTACAAATATTAAACCTGCTCTATCTTGTAGTGTTTTTAATTATAAAAATACTCTGTGTGCTTCATTACTATTTGATAAAGTGATAATGCTTCTAAATCTTTGGAGGCACATCGTAGTTTATAATTTATATAGCCAAATCTATTGCAAGTAGCATTTTTGAAAACATTTTGCAAAAAAGGATTTGAGACAGAAGTTTTTTAGCAGTTTCTTTCTATAAGCAAAGAAGTTCTTTTCTAACAGTTTTTAGTTTTTCTTCTTCCTTTTAAAGAAACATCTAATAAATTGGTAGCTGCAGTTTTCTTGAGATGTGTTTTATTTATTCTAGATTAAGAAAACTTAGTGCTGCTACTCCCCATCCCTGCAAGCTTTCTGATCAAGTATTGTTCAGAAATCAATTTGAACAAATAAGTGGCAGTATTCATTACAATTGTAGGTGTTAGCTCACATTTTGCAACATCAGTGCTCAATAAAGATATTCTAAAAAAGATATTCTCATGTGTTTATATACATATATGCATATCCACAATATACTACTTTTTTGTAAGTTGAATAATTTTTGTATGCATTTCAAATACTCCAGGAGGAGATTGTTATTTCAAGAAAAACAGATGAATTATGCTATTTCACAATGAGGTCTTAACTATATATATAGTTAATATATAACTATAGTTATATATTATATAGTTATATAGTAATATATAACTATATATATATATTTGAGTATATAGTATATACTCAAAGTATTATAGATTGAAATATAGATTTTCCCTATCCCTCCCATCTTTGCTTTCTTACTTTCTAGGATAGAAGATAAGCCCCTTTGTAGTATTAGTGAACTATATTATTTTGTCCTTTTTTAAAACCAATTTCATGTAGGCAATTAACAAAAAGCACTATACATTTTTCTTATTCATATAACATATATTAGACTATAAAACAGGTAGGAATTCCAAGTATATACAGACTGAATCTCATTTTTAAAACTGCTCTATGAACAGTGGTGTGTGATTCTCATGACCTGGTGGATTTGGGCTTTCAAATTATTATAGGAGACAGAGCAACTTTGAGTTGGTAATACTAAATATAAGCATTAACATAATAAAATACTTCATTAAATTTTTTCTGAGAAAAGTCATTCAAAATGCAAGATGTCTCAAACCATAATCCATTAAACACTTCATTGAGCCAACAATCCCAAATGATTTATAATGCTTTTAGTAGCTTATGTGTAATCTTAAATAAGCTACTCACTAAATGATTAAGTATAGTATATATTGATTTGTGCTCTTCTGATTATGACACTTTGAGAACAGGGATTTCTTTTATGAAAATAAGTATTGTTTTTATGTCTTTCAACAGTGTATGCTAATCTTAGTTTAAATATTAAATATTACATTACTTCTTATAGAAAGCAATGCATAAAATCACTTTGAAAAATATTTTTTAAAGGTCTTTTAATTCCTTTAAAAGTTGAAAAGATTCTACTCTCAAACACTATTTCCTAAAGGTGACTTATTATTTGCAAAAAAGAAAAGAATTACTAATGAAGCAGAACTACATTTTTGAATCTTGAAATCTGTTGTATTAAATGAACATTTTATGGCTAGCCTTTTAAAAGCATAATGAATACCACAAAAATGTTAAACATTTTTAAAAATCACATTAATAAAGAATGGAAATAATTTATGTAGAAATTTAATTCTTCACAATGGTATATGGAGGAGTCTGTGTTTTATTTTGGGATTTCTGTCATCCTAGGTATTTTGGAAATATTTGCTGTGTCTCAGGGGATTGTAGGAATACGAGGAGTTTTCAGCAACAAATTTTTAGCGATGTCAAAAAAAGGAAAACTCCATGCAAGTGTAAGTAGAACGACTTTATATTTGTTAAAGGTGTTATGGAGATTTTACATTTGTAAAATGGAATGAAGTGACTTTTTAAATTAATAAGCAGATAGGACAATTTGTCCAGAGAACTTAATGTTTTTTGTTTTTATAAAATTATATGTACATTTAACCAAAAACATTGTATATGTTTTTGTAAGTAATTATGTAAATGTTTTATTTACTTGAAAAGACAGAGCCTACAAAAAATTGTAAGGGTAATTGCATTAGAAAATAACATTCTCAAAGTGATTGCCATTACTTATTTCTTAGAGCGGTTCAAGTGAGAAGAAATATTATGGAAACAATACATTATGTAACATTTTAAATTTGTACGTTTATGATGGCTATGTATGTGTATTTAGTTGACCAGGTTCTTATTTAATTTTAAAAGCTACTCATGATGTCAACAATTGGTTCTAAGTAATATAACATATTTTCATTTTAACAAGTACTGAGGAAAGAAACCAATAATGAAAACATTTTGACCTTTCATAGAGAAATTTTATTTTATCCATTTGCAAAATTTTCACCTTGTATTTTTGGAGCCTCAAAACAATTATTAAAACTATGAAGACTTCACTTACACTCATAAGTACTTCTTCAGACCACCTATACAGTTTGTGAGCAATTTATAAATTATAGAGTTCTGTGCTTCATTCTGAAAATGTTGATTACTTGGGAAACATTAACACATTTTAAAGTTAGTAAAATATGTTTAGCTTAGTTTTCCTACTCACAGATTCTGTCAATTTGTATTAGTACATAAGCATAGCACTTAAAAGTGATTTGTGCCTTTTCTATAGTATACTAAGTTGGGTTTTTTAGATTTCACTTATTTATTTTTCAGAGAGAAGGGAAGGGAAGGAGAAAAAGAGGGGGAGAAACATAGATGTAAGAAAGAAACATGAATTGGTTGCTTCTTGTGTACACCCTGACCAGCACTAAACCTGACCAGGAGACGAGCTGGCAACCTTTTGCTCTGTGGGACAGTGCTCCAACCAGCTGAGCTGTACCAGTCAGTGCAGTAAGTGCACTACATGCACTGTAGTGTACTACATTTTGTCACATTAAATCATTGGAAAAAGCCAGTCTTTAATGGTAGTCCTTTAATTCTTATGCCCTTTGATTCTTATTAAATGAATTGGAGAGCCATTACTTTTACAATTTTCAAAATATATAGGAAGTTTTAGTTGTGTGCAATCAATTGAAACTTATAATTTATGATTTCTACTTTACAGTCCTTTAGAAAATTCAATGAGAATTCCATTTGGTTCACTGTAAGACTTTCAATTTTCCTTTCCCTAACACCTAAAGGTGGTTTGTTAAATAGCTCTTAGAGGAGGCAGTAGAAGTCAAGCTTTTCCTATAGCCATTTGAGGATTAAATGAAATAATACATATAAAGCTTTTATATTAGTATTTGGTGCATTGTAAGTGTTCAACAAATATTAGTTATCACTGTATGATTATCTAAATATAATAAGCTACTGAAATCTCAGTTTATTAAAATAAATAGAAAACATTTATTAAGTTCTTTAATCACATAGTCAGAATTTTTAAAAGATTTACCTATTTCATTTTCTGGGGTGGTTATTATATTTTAGCAAGGTATAATATAGCATTCATAAAATAATTACTTTTTGATTGTTTTACTATTTTAAGGAGCAAATTTCTGCATTGCTTTGGAAAAGTAGGACATGCCACACTACTTTTTAAAAATCGATTGTGACAAGTCCACATACAGAATAGAAAACAATGGACCAAATATCTGCACAGAATAAATTTTCCTCAGTCAGCTTCAAAGTTATGAAAAGATTGAAATCTTCAAAATCTAAACATCAGAATAATATGTGGTGCATGTAAAAAAATCTTTTTCTTACTGGTTTGTTTTGGGTGAAAATCTTGATTTTTTAAATATTCAGATTTGTGCCTTAGAACATGCAAAAAAATAGACTAAACTTAGGCCAGCTTAAGGATAATTGCCACAAAAAACAAAGTATTACAAATGGATGCCAATTAGAAAGGTCAAACCGAGAGGTTAGGATACATGAATCCTGTGTCAAAAGCAAGTAACAAATTTCCAGAAATTTGACCCAAATGTCTAAGGACGGCTGGCTGAAATAATGCAGATAATGCAAAAACAGCATCTGTTATTCTTTCTCATCTTGGCAGGCTAAAGTTATTTCATGGAATAATGACTTTTAAACAGTACAAAGCAAGTCTTGCTCTTGTCACTCATTGAAGCTCTTTGATATAAAAGTCATTCTGATGACTTTGGGCTGAATTGTAGATAAAAAATTAAGCCCTATGATTATGTGGATTCTTTTTAAACCAGTTGTCTAAGCCCACTTTCTCTTATCAGAGCTTTTATTAGCACTTTTTTTTCTAGATGCAAGACTAATTAAATTATAAAGTGATTTGCTTTTAAGGAAGTTGAATTTTGAAATAGTATTAATCCTAGCAATGATCAGTTTTAAGCACAGATGGCTTCTTTCCTGTTATCAGTTTTATTTAAATGTTGAAAATTGTTCTGTCACATTATATATACTTCCAGTATTTGATTTAGTTGTTTTACCAAATTGCATCATTGCTAAAAAGGCTACAAACCCTTCTACTTTCAGGATTAAATGTGTAATTTGTAATTTTTTTCAATTTAATCATTGTAAAGAGGCATTTAACAAGTACCTTTGTAATCATTGTGAGACACATACAGCCGCACATGACAGTGAGTCCTCAATGTCATCAATAAGCTCTTGGAAACTGCAACTTTAAGCAAAACTATGGATATGGAGGACAAGTTTACTACAGGCTAATTGAAATAAACACAAGTTAATTACTATGGCATATCTTATCATAAAATATCACTGAGGTTCAAATAAAGATCCAAAACACTTCTAATATTAAACATGGAAACGTATATGAGCTCTACAGACCTTTACGAAAGATTAATGAGAACAAGAATGCAAATTCTTTCTAAAACCACTTATTTCAGTTCAGGTTGCAGTTGGCCGGAGCCTCTGTGAGCAGCTCAGAGCACCAGGTGGGGACCCACCCTGGACAGGACACCCTTTCCATCAAGATGCACTCACACGCACCCACACTCACTCATGCTGGTGCAATGTAGGCACACCAGTTCACCCCACGTACACATCTTCAGGATGTGGGGAGACACTGGGGTTTCTGGAGAAAGCCCATGCAGACATGGGGAGAGCATGCAAACTCCATGTGGACAGTAGACCTGACTCAAAATAGATTTTTTCATCAATGTTATAATAAAATGATGCTGAAAAAAACAACCTTACATGAGGACCTGCTGTGTGTATAATATCATCACATATATCTTAAATTTACACAATGTTACATGTCAATTATATCTCAATAAAACTCAGAAACATTTAAAAATTAATAAAGAGTAGTTTTACAGTTTTTACTTACAAAGTAAATGTGTACTAAAAATGTAAAGTATTCATATAATTATGGAGAAAGTAAATCCATACTCCTAAAAATATTCATGGATAATTATAGATTCTCAATTTGATTTTTATAGTAATAAATCAGAATATTAAATATTAGTTACTAAACAGAGATAATGTATTTGCATAATTTTTAAAAGCTCTTTCAGTCACATTATTTCATGACATAATTTGGTGAGGAAGAGCCTCAGAGATGTTAAATATATTCCTAGGTTCACGCAGTTAAGTGACTGAACCAGACCCATGTCTTTACAGGCTGAAATGCTTGGGAGGTAAAAGTTAGTTTGGAAGAAGATATGTTTTGTTTGGAACTAATTACCGGCACATTGTTTTCACCTATCATTTTATAGGAATTAATAATTCTATGATTTAATAATAATTTTTATATTGCATTTCAAAGAATGTATACTGTTGTTCATCCTTTGAGTACTATGCTTGCGCACCCTCTACACACCACCTGTCTCTCTTCTTCACTCATTTCAAACTCTTTTTGAAATCTTTTTATCCCCATCTACTTCTGTATTTTCCAATACTTGCTTTTAAAATCTGGATAGGAGGGGATGTGCCCACCACTGAGCAAACTACCGAGTTTTACAAATGTTGGTTATTCAATGTGGTGATGACTTTCATAGGGAACCCCTGTCAAGATGAACTTTCAAAACAGAAAAGACATCTGTTTTGTTCACAGAAAATCTTCGTCTAGAAATGCTTCATTGTCAATGGACACAAAGATGATACATGGTTTTATCAGCACAGAATAGTTAGACTTTGGCAACATTTATTCTGATTTCTTTTGCGTGCTAAATTTGTAAATTCGGCAAGAAGTTTTCTTTGAACTTCAACCATCTCTGTACACACTGCTCCCTGCACTCATTCAAGGTACATATGCCTACCAATCGACTCACAGCTCTCCTTAAAACCTCTGCTCGTATGTACTTTAATTATACAATGCAACCAAATTCCTACCATGCAGTTTTTTTTCAGTATTCTTTACAAGGATGAAGGTGTATGGTCTTCCCCAAACAAGTTGGGAATCTTGGAGAGTAAGAGTAGAAAACTGCTTCCCAAATGGTGAAGGGGGTTGGTTAGTCAGAGCTCCCCTTATGGCCTCTTTCTGAACTCATCCCCAGGCTGGGCTCACTTACAGAACTGAGCACCTTTCTTTTTCTGTCTCTGTCTCTCTGCCTATTTGTTCCTGCTCCTTCTTGACACTGTTCCTGTTCTCTCCTCAGGTTTGTTGTCTTTATTGAAAGTCCCACTGAGAGCCTTTCTGCATTTATCTGAGGTGGGTCCAGTTGTAAGAGGCCTTGAGTACAGTGGTTAAAAGCACAATTAGAATGTGTCATTCTACTTAACTTAAACTGTGTCATTGTCCTTCGTTTTTCTATTCCTTGGCTTCACCAACTCTAAAACTAGGAAAATGCAAGGTACGATCTATTGTGATGGTTGAGCATTTTAAATGAAACAACACATATAAAGCACTTAGAATAGTGTCTGGAAAGTG